GGGTTTAGGGCTTAGGGTTTGAGTTTTTTTCGAGGGTATAGGGTTGTGTCTACTCTTATCCTTTATCGGCTTCCTCTCATTTGCATGGACTGATGAGCATTCAACCCTGAATACAATCCTCCGAGCGACTCCTCAACCCAGGTGAGCTAAACCCTGATAGCCCTGATACAAGCTAGAAGGTTCCCTATACCCTAAACCCTAAACCCTAAACCCTAAACTCTAGAAGATTCTCTATACCCTAAACGCTCATGGACCTGAACGGCCCTGAGCCTCAGAATTCTGAAAAGCCGTCATAAGCCCTTCATAGCCGCAGGACAAGGTTGTACAAGCATGCGCCTTGTGCCTTTTAGTAGCTTTGTAGTCTTGTGAAGCATGCAGAAGCATATCTCCGTCACAGAAGTATCATCAGAAGTATCATGAACCGTCTGAGAACATGTTCCGGCAGCAGATCATAGCTTCGCTTGCGCCAGGCTCCCAGCGTGACTGTGTAGGCTCAGACGTACCCGCCTTTCAGTCTTGGTCATGGTTCTGGACATGGAGGCACTGCGGTGTTCCCTCCAGAACAAGCCGTTCTGCACTAAGGAAAAGTCTCTGCTTCAGATGATCCAACAGTTTGAGGCCATCCAACTTCAACAGCAGAACCTGCTTGAGACAGCGAGAGGCCTTATGACATTCAACCTGAAGGTTCGTTTCTCCGAAGAAAGACGCGACGCTATAGACATCGCCGTGGAGGCCAAGCCCTTCGACACAGTTTCGGCCGTTATCGAGCGGCTTGCAAGTAGCCTCAGAGTTCCTTTCAGACGACGCAGCATCGCCAAGGACTGGGTTGTTGCGAGAAAGCGGGGTTTAGGGTTTAGGGTTTATGGTTTAGGGATTAGACTTATACAGTAAGCCATATGCTCACTAGAGTGAAGTAGCTTGAACTACCTTCCGTAACAAGCAGCCCAGGACGGCCAAGACTTGCCGAAGCAGGGGACTCTTTCAGCATTGGGGATCTCAGAAAGCTCCCAGCTCGAGTGCAAGCCCTATTGCATGCCCGGAAGGTACCAACTGTTCGTGAAGACACTCAGGGGCAAAACGCTGACCTTCGACGTTGAAGGAAGAGATAGCGTCGGCGACTTAAAAGGACAGGTTCAAGAACGCGAAGGCATCCCTCCCGACCGGCAGCGCTTGATTTTCGCCGGGAGGCCGCTAGAAGACGAACGGACTTTGTCATTTTACGACATCCCAGAAGAGTCCACTTTACGCGTCTTGCGTTTGAGGGAGGCGCCTGCGGAGCGCGGAAGTTACCAAATATTCGTGAAGACGCTCACGGGAAAAACGGTGACCTTGGATTTTGAAGGCAGCGACACCATCGACAACTTGAAAGCAAAGATTCAAGCAAAAGAAGGCATCCCGCCCGACCAGCAGCGCTTGATTTTCCGCGGGATGCGGCTAGAAGACGGACTGACTCTGTCAGATTACGGCGTCCAGAAGGAGGACACCTTACACCTCTTCCTGCGTCTGCGTGGGGGCATGTACGATGAGATCTCCGGCCGCCAGGGCTTCGAAGTGCTCTCCGACAAAATCGTCTTTGAGAATGGAGAACCTTTGTTCATGGTTCGGTAACATTTCACATTTCTACGGGCACTTAAACCCCAAACCCTAAACCCTGAAACCCTGAAACCTTAAAGCCTTAAACCCTAAACTAAACCCCATAAACCCTATAAGCTTTAAACCCTAAACCCTAAAGCCGAATGGACGTTCAGATTTTTAATACGATCCCAAGCCCATGGACGAGGAATCTCGATGGGAGCCCGGGAACCCTTAAGCTCTACAGCCATGGTTCGCAAAAAATCCTGTCGTTTTCTTCGAAGGAAGAGATGCAAGGTCGCAGCTTGGGAGAGTTTTTGTTGTTTTGATTTCTGCCGATTGGTTGTCATAGTTCTGGGTGAGGAATGTTTTTTTTTTTTTTTTTTTTT